TATATAAAAAATAATATATTTTTCAAATAACTATAAAAAATAATTTTAAAATAATGAGATTCATAAATTTTTTCGTAAAACGTCCAAGTGTACAATATATATATTTAGATTCATATTATAGTTGATAATTTTAATATTAATTTATTATTTTTATTTATAACTTTTCAATTTTCTCATTTTTTTGTAACATAGTAAAATCAATAAAATTTTTAATGTAAGATAATTTTTTTATTTTACTAAATTTATATATTAAATTTTACTAAATTTACTTAATTTTACTTAATTTTACTAAATTTATATATTAAATATATTTTAATTATTGCAAAAACGTATAAAAATTCTCTTTACAGGACCATTGCATTGGGGTGATGAATACAAACAATGTATAGGAAAATTCCAGTCACCCATTGATATAGAAGAAAAGGATGTCACAAACATGACTTTCCCAAAACTACAATTTTCTGATACAGAGAATTCCCACGTAGCTTACATGATTAATAATGGCCATACAGGTATAAATATTATAGCAATGTTAAAATATTAACTTTGTAAATAAACATTCGAAAATAACTATTGTCTAACATCATTAAAATAAATTCAAATACTGTTCAAGTAAATTCAATTTTATTTCAATAAAAAATAATTATACATATATACAAAAAAATGATTATTGAAAAACGTCTATGAATTATATACAGTATGACGGATTTATCTTGAAACGCGTTCGAAAAATATGAATTATATGAAAAAATGTTTTAAACAGAAATTATTTCATATAAAAAAGTATATTATGTAATATTAATAATTTTTTTATAAATTGAATTTTTCAGAAATCATATGAAGATCAACTTTATTTTCTTTTAAATATAATTATGTAATTTTTATTATACAATTCATTATTTTTTTATTTTTTTAAAATAAAGTACTAAGCTCTTTATGCCGAAAAATTTTTAATTTGGAAGTTTTAACTTGTAGAATTGTAACTTGAAGCTCGTAACTTATCATATGAAAGATAAAAAGACTATGAAAAATATTGCAGAATCGCTTCATATATTTCTTTTCTTTTATATTTATAATAAGTATTCAAGATAAATAAGATATTGTATATTTCTATATTTATAAGACACTAAAATATATACAAGTATAGAAATGTACAGAATGAATATAAAATTGAATAAATATTCATAGCTATTAATGATAACAATTAAAAACTAAACTTACAATAGACAATAATCGTAGTAATTATAATTATAATAATATTATAGATTTTCATCTTTTCTTATAATGCATATAATACTTTTCTCTTTGTTAATTATAGTGTATAAAATTTAATAATATTGTCGATTAATATTACTAAAATATTAATAATCATAATATTTAAACTATTAAAATAAAAATATCAATTTTATTAATAAATTGCTGATTAAAAGTTTAATTTCTTAAAAATTATATAGTTTCTTTTATCGAAACTAAAATTTTTAAAAAATCAATTTTTTTTTTCAATCATCAATTATTTTTTTTATCAATATTATCAATCTCGATTTTAAAAAAATTATTGTATCAAGCAATTTCATGAGAGAAAATTTAACAAAGAGAAATGTGAACAATAAATCTTGTTGACCAAAATAATAATTCGAACCGTTTATTCAGAACAAAGAACATTATATCAACAAATATGCATCAGATAAGTATAAGCTTGATTTAAATGGATATCCATTTTATGACATTGGAACTCCATGATTGCACATACTGATGATTTAATAATCAATAATTCCATATACATATCTGTTCTTATTTTTATACTAAAAGATATTGCATCGTTTAATTAAAATATGCATTCATTTTCTTTCGTAATCTTTAATTTTAAACTATCTTGAATATTATTTTCATTCTAATACATATACATATACATATTAATTTTTTATATTCATTTGCACTACTGAAAGACATTATTTAACTAGAATATAAATTTGTTTGTCTCTTGTTTTTTTTTAAATTTTAAATCCATTTTCATTATTATTGGTTTTTATTATTATTTACATATAGAATGTCTGTTTTATTTAATTCTAAATGATGAACAATGAAATATCTTTTAAGGAAAAAATGTTATAAAAAAAATGTTTTAACAAAAGTTTTTTGATAAAAGAAATACATTATGCTTTGATAAAAGAAATACTAATAGATTTTTTTTTAAGTATCTAGATAGAATAGAAAATAACCTTTGTATTTTAATGCTATTTAATGATATACTCATCATGAAACTCTTTTAATAACAAGTATATTCGTCATGCAATAAAATAAAATATCTTTTATTATTTTATTAATTGAAATTTTTATAAAAAAAAGGTATTTTTTTTTAATTAGAATATTAATTAGAAATAAAAATGGATAATTACTTTTTGCATTTTTTATGAAAATACTTTTATATTTGATGCAAATGAATTAATATTTTACAAAATTAGAATCATTTTTTATGAAAATTGCATTTACTCGGTCTATTTATTTTTTCGCTTTATAAACAACGTGTTTGTTATTGTACAATCTTAAAATAATTAAAATTGAACAGTACTATAATTTGAACAGTATAAAATATAAATCTCAATCAATAATATATATTGTACATATTATTGTATTAATAACATTGTAATAATATTTATTAATGAATTTAATTAATGAATTTTTGAATAATTATTAATTTTTTAAATATCCTAACTTGTAATATTTATCATTGCTTAATTTTAATTTTAATTACAAACAAATATATACTTTCAAAGCAAAATTCCATTAGAAGATAGAATTAAATGGAATTGTATGATTTTTAATGCACTAATCACTAATAATAAACAGTTTATTACTTTTTGTTCAAAAGAGCATTATGTTATTTATACATATGTTATTTATATATATCGAAAAATTGATTCATTTTTTCGTATAGTCACGTATTCACTCATTTTCACGTATCATGTGTAAATACAAAGAGCATTAAAGTATCGCTTCATATGTTCCTTTTCTTTCATATTTCTCTATAAATTTTACATATAATTTCTATATAATTTTACATATAACTCCAACTACAATACTTTTTAAACTAATTTTTTGATATATATATTATATATAATATTGAATATAGTATATAATATTTCAAATATATATTTTAATATCAATTTATATTATTATTATTAATTTAGAATTTTATTCAAATGTAAGAAAATATTATTTTATATGAAAATACTTCCCATAAAAAATTTTTAATTATAATATTATTGTTGTAAAATATATTATCATGCTATTGCTATATTAGTTCATCCTATAAGTAATATGGTTTTAAAAACATATTACTAATTTAACACATTAATTACATAATTTAACATTAATTTCAATATAAAAAAAAAATAATACAGTAATTATACAGAGAAAAGGAGCGCTGATGATCCACACTGTTTCTATTTCAATCTTATTGAATCATAATAATAATAATATTAAATAATGTTACTTGATTTTAAAACTAATTATAGAGGAAAATATGTATAAGAATATATGATTAAATATATGATTAGACTGTTTGATTTCAGATATATTTTAAATTTTATTGACTAAGTATTAGGTATTATTAAGTTTTAATTAGGTTTATAAATGGAAATATTTCCGCTATTATATTAAAAAATTCGAAAAAAATACGAATTTCAATTCCATTATATGGAAATCGAACTTAGTACTATGATTAGTTAGAGAAATTTATTTCATCGCAAATATGATTTTGATAGTCGAATACTAGCATTTTTTAAATTATATAATTTTTTAATATAATTTTTAATCAATAATATGAGGAAAATTCAAATGAAATAATATATAATATTTATTTATTATTATTTATTAAAAAATGTGATTAAATAACTATTATTTAATTAACTAGATTTAAATTTAAGATATTATTTCGTTTAATTTTGGGATAACTTTAAATTAAGTAACATAAATCTAATCCTAAAAACCTAACTTAAATTTAATTCAAATTAAATTAAATCTATTTTGAATATTAGAAATATGATATTTTTTTTAAAGTATTTAATTTTAAATTTATTAATTTACATAATTTCCATTTTCAAAAACTTTGCTATTTAAAAAATTTTATAATTAACAAAATAACCGATAATTTGTTGGTATTGATTTATGAAAAATATAATGAATACAATATATTAATATTTAATTAATTAAATAATTCACTGGTTCCTATTATTATTGTATATATATGTATATATAATCAATCATTGTATAATGAAAAGTAAGTTTTTTTAGTTTATTGATCATTTGTTTATCAAAATTAATAATAATAATATATCAATATTATCAATATAATATATCAATATAAAATTAATAATTATAATAATAATATATAAATTAATAATAATAATATAATTAATAATAATAATAATCATAATAAATAAATATTTTAATTTTTCAGTTGTATATACAATAATTTGATTTTACATTTATGAATATATGATTTTTTGTAACTGGAAATTTATTTATAAAATAACTTAATATATATAACATATAAAAAACTCAGAAATAAAAAATAAAGAAAGAACAGAAAATGAAATAATTATTAAATATTTAAAATAAAATATTTTATTTATATCCGAGTATATTTATATCCGCATAATATATATTTATTCATAATTTAAACATTAAATGACACACATATAGATACTTTTAAATAATATTTGTCAATGAAAATATTTCAGAATATTTTAATTTTTTATGTATTTCAATTTTTCCTCAGCTTTCAAAATTATTAAATTAAAAATAATGACTATCGTATGGAAAGTGAATGATTAAACACTGAATGCAAGCTATTTTTAACAATTACAGAAATATTAATGTTTAAAACATTTGTTTCCTTCCAGGAAAGTAGAGAATTTAAAAGTCTGATTAACCTGTATACAAGCATTGATTATTTCGAATATTCTGAACGTTTCTCAAACGTGATTCTTATCCTTGAACAACTGAAAATTAACGTTGATTATTGTACAGACAAGTCATAACAGACATTGTCTTGTTGTAATTAAGATAAGACTTAAGAAAGATAAAGACTCGTGCGCATTGAAAGAATGACTATTATAAAATAAGACTGTTTTATCAGATTAATTTTGCAAATATAATAAATATCATTGTATCACACACTGTTTTAGTGATGATTCGAAGTTTCGATCCTGATTTACCCACGATATTAGGCGGGCCCATCAACAATACATACGTGTTTCAACAATTACACTTTCATTGGGGTCAAAATGATAATCTTGGATCCGAGGATCTTATTAATAATCACTCGTTTTCCATGGAGCTGCACGCAGTTTTTTGGAAGAAACAATATGGCTCATATGACAAAGCGACAGAATATTCTGATGGCCTCACTGTGCTTGGATACTTATATCAGGTAAATATTAAATCATTACACGAATAATATTGCTTTAAAAGAATCAGTTTATTATAAAATAGAATAATAAATATTTTAAAATAGAATCAATTCATCATAGCTATAATACGTCCTTTTTATATTATAATCAAAAATAATAGATATTATTTTTAATAATTACTGTATATTATATATTTCTTAGACAGCGTATTAATATGTGAAAATTAAAATATCGATTTTAAAGAACAGAAATAATCTTAAAAATTAGTACACTAAAAATGCAGAACTGGAAAAAATAAATTTTTTAAATAGATAAATAAAAATAAATATTTTTATTTTTTCGAGTGATATAGGATTTTATAAATAAATTTTTTCTTGAAATAATATTTTCAAATAATATACAAGGTGTTAAGATATTCATATCTTTTTTCATAGAAAATCGATTTTAGAAGACAAAACAAACATAAAAATTGTGTTGAGGCTTATTTATTAAAATATAAGTTTGCATTAGAGAAAGCGAGATGTATATAAAGTGAGACGAAATTGCGTCTCTGTTATACCATTGTTTTATTTTTTTCTTGTGTCACTTTATTTAACACGAATTTGTAAATATATCTCGATTGATATTTTTGTATACTAATTTTTGTACTCGTTTTGGCCTTTTTAAAATCAATTCTTCTAAAATATTCTACGAATACATTAACATCTTGTATAATATTTGGAATAAGTTTTTAATTTAACATTTTATAATACGATGTAAGCTAATAAAATATCATATTCAATTTATGCACGAATTAAAAAGATTTTTAATATTTGCATTGAATTTTCTATCTCTTATTTTCGAATTCAAGACTCAATAATAAATAATATTTAATCATGATTTAATAAAATAGAAATTTTTTCAATTCAATATTCAATTTAAGCATAAAATAAAATAGTATTTTTTGATAATATTTGACTTAATCATTAAATATAATAGTATTTTTAAATAATATTTGTTTATAAAAATTTTTCAATTTTCATTTTGTCTCAAACTATTTCAAATTTTCCCTTATTCTACAAAAATGTTGATTAAAGCTTATTTATTAAATTATTTTATTTATTAAATTATTTATTAATTATCAATAATTAAATTAGATAAAGACTAAAATATCTCCATTTTGCTTTTTTTTATATAAATTTCAATTACTTATGATATAATAAATAAACTTTAATTGATACTTTTGTATAGTAACTTTTATATTTGTTTTGGAAAATTATCTAAAATCAATCTTTCAAGGATGAATGGTTACGAATAAAAAAGTTCATTAACTTGTACGCTCAATATACCATATCATGCTTTTGTCACAAAGAAAACGAATTTATAGATAAAAATAATTAAATAACTAACATTAACTAACATTAACGAATAATAAATTCTTATTCACTACTAATAATTTAAACGATTATTAAAATGATTATGTACAATAAAAATAATAGTAGAAGTAAAAAATAAAAATTTAATTGATATAAATATATTATATCTTTTAAATTCTTTTGATCTAAAATATTTTAAATGACCAAATTTTTAAAAATGAAAATCACATAATTAATATTAATAATATATTAAAACAAAAGTTGTCCATTACACAAAAAGATATATTTTAATTGAATATTATCACTCGAATGTTATCATTTATCATGATTGTGGGATTGTTTATAAACTATTATATTATGAATGAACTTTGAATAAACTTAATAATAATTGACTCTAATTATTTTTTATATGATTAATTATGATCTGACTGACTTTTGATTTCTTTTTCTCTGATTGAATTCCGTGATTTCTGATCGAACCGAATATGATTTGATTGAATTCTGTGACGATTAAATAAAAAAAAATGCGATCTTATTTGAATTAAATTTTTCTGACTTTTGCAATTTCTAATCGAATTCCCATTTTTTCTGCAACTGATTTCCGCGATTTCTAATCGAACTTTAATTTTTGAAAAACTATTATGAATCTTTCTTAGTTCTTTTTCAAGTAATTATTTTTTATGAAAATGTAACTAAAAAAAGTAAAAAAATATAAGAAAAAATGTAAAAAGAATTAATATTGCGTTAAAAAATAATCTTCAATAATGAGTATTCATGAGTGGGATAGCGTCGCAACAGAGAGATTAAGACTTTTGAGACCGTTTTTCTATAGTGGTCCGATGCAAAACATTTGACGCGTAAATGTGACTTATGAAGTGGCCAATGCTTTGTATTTTAATCATTCGAATAACTGCTATTGAAAATTTGAAACAATATGAAGAAATTGTATCTGCTCATAAATTATTAAACTAAAAAAACTTTAAAATATTGAGAATGCTGAAGCTATTGAAATTCGAATATCTTGGCCGCTTCATAAATCAGTTCTGGTTTTTGTCCTTAACGAGTATTTAATTTAAAAGACAAAATATTTTTAAAAAGTCAAAAAAGCTTGTTCAAAAAAAGAGAAATATATTTATTTTTTTTAAAGTAAACATAAATTTTGTGATTTTTTTTTTTTTTTGATTTTAGGCTTATAAAATATCGCTCATAAAATAATATAGGATATGAGAATTTTTGGGATACAAGTGAAAAAAAATTTTTATTTGAGAAAATTTAGAATAAAATTAAATTTTCTAAGTAGAAAAATTTAAATACTAGTATAGAGATGAGTCGAAACCTGACATTTAAATTCTCAACTCAAATCTGAAATTTTATGAGAATTCTTGAAATTTTCGAGATCTTATTTTTTTTCTGTGTATCTATTTTATCAAAAACTAAAATTTTAACAAATTTTGATTTTTTCAAAACTCATATCTCTAATTAATCAATAAACATTTTATCTTGTAAAAAATTTTATTATTTTTTATTTTTTTTATCTACGTAATGAAATAATAAAATAATGAAATAAAATTTCCTAAGTTGTTTATTTATTCAATTATTCTTTACCTTAATTTTAAGAATTTCAAATCACAAAATATTTTGAAGTTTAAGAAGTCAAAATTTTTTAAACATTAAAGAGTTTTTAGATTTAAAATATATCATTTTTAGTAAATACATTAAATATTTGTATTACAACTAACTATAAAATTAAAGATAAGTATATATATCATAAAATAATTTAAAAATTACTAATTTTAAATTATACTATTTATTAAATTATTATATTAAATTATATTAGATTATCTAAAATTAATGATAACATACAAAATAAAACAATAATAAAAATAAAAAACATCTAATGTTATGAAGTAAAAAAATACTCTAAATGAATAAAAATCTTGTTTAATATTTTCTGTTTAATATTTTTTTCTTTTTTCAAAAAAAAAATGCTATCATTAATAAATCTAAATTAAAAAATTGTATCATTAATAAATCATACAAATAAATGAAAGAATTATACTAATTGGGAGATAATTTATAACGATTTAAGTAAAAAAAATTTATTTAAATATCACATTTTTTTTTACAAATATATTAATAACAATATTAATTGATTTTTTTTAAATTAAATTTGTAACTTGTCTTTCTTAGATTTTTAAAATCCAAGGGGGTTTTAAATCTAATTTGAATATTAAAATTATCTCTTTTCTTTAATCTGTTATCAAAAAAAATAAAAAAATAATCGTCAATAAAGTATTGTATATTGTAATTCATTTGATTAATAAAAACTCATTCATGATTAATGAAATCATTTATAATAAAAACAATGTATAATAAAAAAAATAAAATATAATATAATATTGTTAAATTTATTTTTTTTATTATTATCTAATATTCCATATATATATATGGAAATCATTTTTGTAAAGTCAGTTCTAGAAATTAAAATAAAAAAAAATTGATATATAAAAATATTGAAGTTATTTATTAAATTATAAACAATTTAAGTTTGCCATAGAATAAGTCAGTAATGTGATGAAGATAGAATGATCTTATTTTATCTTCGTTTCGCTTCGTTTAACACAAATTTAAATTGCTTATAACTTTATAAATAAACCTCAACCGACATTTTTATATCAACTTTTGTATTTATCTTTATCTTTAGAAAAATATCTAAAGATTATCTAAAGATCAAATAAATGTATTAACATTATATATAGTCTAGTTTCTGCATATTTCAATCCATTAAAAAATCACATATTATTTTTTTTACATTTATTAATTATAATTTTATAATTTTTATAATTTATCTTCAAAAATATTAATGATTTATATATATATATGTGATATTTATATTTTTTTGCACAAAGTGAAAGGTCATATCTTTTTTTACAAAATATATATAATATAAATATAATATTCAATAGTAGAATTGCAGTGGTAGAATTTGTTTGTTACATATAATTACTATTATTTAAATTATAGTTTATTATAATAACGTAACTATTAATTTCAATGAAAATTCTAAATGATTATAAATGCAAAAAGAAAAATTTCCTCCTTCTTATTGCGCTTCATATGAATTTTTCATTTTCATATGCATATGTAATATACATCCGTTTTCGTAAGTTGTATATTTAATTTACGCATAGAATCAGTTATGTAGATCGTAGATTATGTACATGCAACGCTAACTATTAATGTACATAAAATTCTTAACATTCTTCTCTATATATTTTGAATATTTGCTTTGGAAAACATAAATAAAATTCGAACGAAAACAAAAAGCTAAATTAATATATTTTTGACTTCGTTTTTTTTTTAAATAAAAACATTATACATGATATATTCTATTTTTATGCAGTATAAATGTATATGCTTTTATACATTTTAATAAATTTAAATATGTTTAATGTTTATTTAAATTTAAGAAAAATATTATTTTAATTGAAAATTATTTATATCATTATAAAAAACGATTTTTATCTAATTTCAATTATTCTTTAATTTAATAATTAATATATATATAATATAATAATATAACAAATAATATATACAGCAATCATATAATAGCGTACAATAAACAATTTTATCATAGAAAATTCTGATCTATG